AAGAAAGAAAATCTCGTAGTTCTCATTCCATGTGAGTTTCTATTGAACAAAGTTGTGTCCACTGAAAAGTGAAAAGCCAAACCATCCGAATGATGTTATGCATGCACTTTTGAAGTATGTAGCGGAAGTCCAGGGGGGTCATGAAATGCTCCGCTTCCACAGCACGCGAACGCATCCACAGATAATGGGCAGATACATAGTCTGTGAGAGGGGAAGAGGGTCGTATAGAAACCTCTTCATGGTGGAATTAGTACCGATCTGGCTATTTTCCGCGACTTGATGCTTGCTGACGTGACCTTGCTGCACGCTCTTTTCTAAGCGAATCTGTAGCTCGGTAGATTCCCACCATGTTCTAATGCGTTTCTATTACAAAACTGACTTCAAGAAATGAACTTACTCAAATATATCCACCGGGACGTCACCTTCACAGGGTCCGAGACGTCATCAGAAGGAAGAATTTTGCCGGAAATTCACGAGTTCTAGAACTGGCGAATGGCTTTTTCTGAACACCTTTCATAGATTCCGGCAAACTCAATGTTCTTCTACTCACTCCTGAGTAATGTTCTTACCTTGGCGTTTACTGATTTGCGTGAAACTTGCAGAGAAGTAAGGTCTGAGATTCGAATGGCGAATGGCGTCTATCTTGCCCACAGAGGGTACATTGGGAAGTTTTCACGCTGCGGGAGCTCTCCACAATAGATCCCCAACGCATTCCTCATAGACCGGGGGTTTTCGAAAACATGATCGTTCAAACCGGCAAAACTCGCGTTTAATTCTGAAAAGCCCCAAAGAATCCCTAACGCTAGATATCGCTCTAAGTCAGGGTAACCTTCATGAACGTTCAGGACTTTCCAGGAAGCTCAAGTCTAACTCTTTACGGCCACGTCTTTCGTTTGCTCTCGGATGGCGTTCAGCGGTGGAAGGTGCTAAAAAGTAGGGAGCTTTTAGGTTAGCATTGGTTTCCTTCCACATATGTTTCGAAAAAGAAAAGCCAGTAAAAAGGTGAAAAAAAACATGTCCTAGGAGGGGAAGGGGGGGGGGTCGTACGGACTCAACCGAAATCCCCAACGCATGATGTACGCCTGTGAAGGGTGTTTCGTCAAAGATTTCTGTATGTTATTATCAAGGTATATCCATCTTTTGCTCATTCACTACCAGTCGTCAGTTCAAGCAGATAGATTGCGTTGAATATGTGAAGGATAATGCAATGTATTTAGGTACTTCGCGTTTTCTTTGTGTGAATCAGTCATCCAACAGAACCTTGAGGCAGAGAAACACTTATTTATTGCAATTCCGCTCGACAAAGAGATTTACTGTTAGCTATACCTTCGAGCAGGACTTCGCAGTGAGCTTTTACGCCTTTGCTGCCGTTTTGGAAACTTCTGATGACTTTGCTGTCTTTTTCGTGTCCTTCGTCTTCTCTTTTTTGGCATCTTTCTTCGCTGTGGCGGCAGGGCTCTTTGCTTTCTTCTCCGCTTTTTCCTTGGAAAGCTTCACTGAGTCCTTCTTAGCTTCCTTCACCGCACCCTTTTTGGAATCTTTCTTTAATTTGGCGACTGAAATCTTTGCATCCTTCTTCGTATTTTTTGGAGCTTTCACTGCATCCTTTTTGGAATCCTTCGCTGCCTTCTTTTTGGTATCTTTCACGGCCGTTTTCTTGCTATCTTTCTTTTCCTTGGCGGTTGGAATCTTTGCCTGCTGCTTCATATTTTTTGGAGTTCCCTTCTTCAGGGCCTTCACTGTCTTCTTAGCCCCCTTCGCTGACTTCTCTTTGGTATCCTTTGCTGCTGTTTTCTTGGAAACTTTCCTTGCTTTAGGAGAAATCTTTGCTCGCTTCTTCGTATCCTTTTGAGTTACTTTCTTGACAACCTTCACTGATTTCTTCGTAACATGTTTCGCTGCTTTCTTTCCGCTATCTTTTACGGCCTTTTTCTTGGCTAATCTTTCTTGACTTTAGTAGGTAGAATCTTTCCTCCCTTTTTCTTGCTTTTTGACGGACGTTTACTCTTTGAGCGGAGACGACTGTGGCTCTTTGAGCGACTTCGTTTCACCGAACGGCGGCGTTTGTGATTCTTCGAGCGACTTCGTTTCACCGAACGGCGGCGTTTGTGATTCTTCGAGCGACTTCGTTTCACCGAACGGCGGCGTTTGTGGTTCCTTGAGCGACTTCGTTTCACCGAACGGCGGCGTTTATGGTTCCTTGAGTGACGTCGCCTCACCGAACGGCGGCGTTTGTGATTCTTTGAGCGACTTCGTCTCCTTACTGAAGACCATTGCCGCTTGTTTACCTAAATTGAAAGTTGCTCTCATTTCAGCAAAGTATGATGGCCTACACTTTTTAGTTACACTAAAGATCTAATTTTTCCTGAAATCTGAGATATTGTTATGCAACCTTGGATCTTGCTTGCAAACTGAGCATTCGAGTGAACTCGTCGTATTCTCCCAGATGTTTCGAGCGGCGATTTCT